CCATAGTGGTTGCACTATTTTACATTCCCATTAACAGTGTTATGAGGGTTCCTTTTCTCATGCATCCTTGCCAGCATTTGTTGTTGTTTGTGTTCTTGATGTTAGCCATTCTAAATAGGAATGAGGTAGACTTTTACTGTGGTTTTGATTTACATTTCCTTTATGGCCAGAGATGTTGAGCATTTCTTCATGTGTTTTTTTGGCCATTTGTGCTTCTTCCTTTGAAAAAGCTCTGTTCAGTTCATTTGTCCATTTCTTCATTGGTCATTGATTCTTTGGGAGTTTAGTTTTTTGAGCTCTCTGTAAATTCTGATTACTAATCCCTTGTCAGATGTATAGCTGGCAGATTTTCTCTTATTCTGTGAGCTGCCTCTTTAGTTTGGGGACCATTTCCTTTGCTGTGTAGAAGCTTTTTAGTTTCACGAAGTCCCATGTGTCAGTCCTTTGTGCTGAGTCATTGGAGTTCTATTTAGGAAGTTATTGCGTATGCCTATATGTTCCAGTGCATTCCTTTTTCCTGCAGTAGTTTTAAAGTTTGAGGCCTTATACTGAGGTCTTTGATCCACTTTGAATTGATATTTGTACAGAGTGAAAGACAGATCTAGTTCTAGTTTTCTATATACAGATATCCAGTTTTCCTAGTAATATTTGTTGAAGAGGCTGTCTTCATCATATGTTTTAGGCACCTTTGTCAAAAATAAATTTGATTTGACACATAATAAAGGGAAATTACCTATACCTGTTTATTTCTATGATTTCTAAACTTAGAGGGAATTAAGTAGCAAGCATGGTCATGTAATCTCCAGGTATCTGTTGGACATTAATAGAACATATCTTCGGTTAGGTTTGTCTCTATCTGAACCTTGGTTCTTATCCCTTTGAGTGTTCTCATTCATTCACTTATTTATTTATAGAATTGGGGTTTGAACTGAGGGCCTCACACTTGCTAGGTAAGCTCTCTTACCACTTGAGCCACTCTCCCAGCCCTCCCTTCCATCATTTAAAGATGCTTACATCTTTACTGTGTTAAGGAAAAAAATGAGCTGGGCTCCAGTGGCTCACGCCTGTAATCCTACCTACTCAGGAGGCAGGAGGATTGAGATTCGAAGCCAGCCTGGGCAAATAGTTTATGAGACCCTATCTCAAAAATACCTAACACAAAAACGGCTGGTGGAGTGGCTCAAGGTATAGGACCTGAGTTCAAGCCCTGGTACTGCAAAAAAAAAAAAAGAAAGTGAGCGTTGTCATGCTTGTCTGAAATTCCAGAACTCAGGAGGCCAAGACAAGGAGGATCATGAGTTTCAAGACCAGTCCAGACTGCAATAGCAAGAGCCTGTCTCAAAAAAATAAAGACAAAATCTTCCTCTCTTCTGCTACTAGCAATTTTACCTTCTTGCTTGCACAGTTTTATCTTCACATTTTTCCTTTCTCCCATTCATTCCTCAGCACATTCTAATCTGACTCTGTCCTCACCAATATATTGAGTTGCTCTGACCAAGGTTACCAGTGACCTCTGTGTCATTATGTACTTTCCCTCTCCATCAGCTTGAGTGCTGATAGTTTTCAAAATTACATACTATAGGCTTTTCTTTTTAATTTTTACTCTGATTGACTATTCCACATCTTCCCTTGGGTATCTCAAAGGTTCTTAAATTCAATGTGTTTACCTCTCTTCCTTCCATAATACTCCTCATCTTTCTTATCTCTGTGCATGGTTATCTCCATCCTCACTTCCCTATCCAATCACTCGTCAACTCTGTTTATCCTACCTTGTTAATGATCCCTTGAATCTTTTCACCTCATGTCTTTATCTGTAACATCCCAGTCTAAATCATCATCTCTTGTCTGTATCATTCAACTCATTATCCCACACAATTCTCACCAATTCACTGCAGCCAAAATGATGCTCTCCTTTCTCTAACCTTTGTGCCAAGCTCAGTGCTTGGCTAGTAGAGGACACCCAAGTGATTTTTGTTTTACAAATGAATTTAAAACAAGAATAGCACCATACAGCAATTAAATAGAATCTATTACTGTAAAATGTAATACACTAATTTTATTTCCTGAAGGGGCTAAGCCAATATTTGACATGAAGATGGAAGCCAGCCTGCTCACTGCAGAAGTAAATGGATCTGTGTTCTTACAGTAACAGTGCTTCATAGCTTTTTTGGGAGGAGAAGAAGGTGGTCCTGGGGTTTGAACTCAGGGCTTCCTGATTCCCAGACAGGTGCTCTGCTGCTTGAGCGATGCCTCCAACCCCTTTTTGTTCTGGTTATTTTGGAGATAGGGTCTCGCTTTCTGCTGTTAGATGACTGGCATTCACCATCACTCCCAGTTCTTTTCCATTCAGATGGTATCTTAGGAACTCTTTGCCTGGGCTGACCTTGAACTGTAATCTTCCTGATCCTCAGCCTCCCAAGTAATTAGGATTACAGGCATGAGCCACTGGCACCAGGGTGCTTCTCAGCTTTGACTTTCCCAGTGGAAATACTTCATGACAGCAGACTTCCTGACACATTGGGACAGATATGGGTCCTTAGGCATGCAGTAACTGGAACCAGGTCTTAGGGCACACAGATCAGTAGTAAATTTCATGAACATTTTTCCACATGTGTACATAGTAAAAGCGGAAAGATTGAATAAGACCCATTAGAAACATTTTCAGTGTTGGGAATGAGCAAGATTTATGTTAATGTCCATAGCCAACACTCCTGTTTAATTTGCCTTTTTACCCTTTGTTTCATTTCCTTAATCTGATGTGTTGTTTTGGGGAAATGATCCTTTAGTTTCCTAACTGTAGAATGGGAATTTTTTTGGTGGGGGAGTGGTGATACTGGCATTTGAACTCAGGATGTTGTATTCGCTAGGCAGGCACTCTGCCTCTTGAGCTGTCTCCCTCACTGCCAGCCCTTTTTGCTTTAGTTATTTTTAGAATCTTTTCTTTTTGGCTGGGCCAGCCTGACCACTGTCCTCTTCTATATACACCTCCCCTGTAGCTAGGATGACAGGCCTGTGCTACCATACCACTATGCCTGGCTTACAATGGCAATTTTGATTAAATTTAAAATGTTGATTTCTGTTTTCTACTATTTCCATGTTCTGCTAACTTTGTTTTGTGTGTCAGACTGTGCATAGTGTGCTCTTCCTATAAGGATAAATGCCAACTGCTGATGGGGTTTGAAATTTTGATTAGTGCTTGCTTATAAGTTCTTTGCACAAAGGTGGTATTTGTTCAAGATAAAAATGTTGCAATCATTCTGAGTTTTATATGTCCTTTCTGCATTCAGAAGGTAAGTTCATCCTTCCTACTCTGTAGGCCTCCAAAGTAGGAAGTTATCATAACCAGTTGTTCTTCAGTCTCTTAGAAAATGTAATTTGGGGTGAACCATGTGCTATCCTTAAGAAACAATGATTCTAGTGCTGATGGCTCATGTCTGTAATCTTAGTTACTTGGAAGGCTGAAAATGGGAGGATAGAGGTTCAAGGCCAGAATGAGCAAATAGTTCCTGAGACCCCATGTCCAAAATAACCACAACAAAATGGACTGGAGGTGTGGCTCAAGTGATAGAGTGCCTGCTTTGCAAGTGCAAAGCCCTGACTTCAACTCCCAGTCCCACAAAAAAAAAGAAAGAGAAATATCATGAGGTATTCTCTCATGATGAGGGGTTTTGTTTATTAATTTAATTTCTTGAGACAGAGTCTTTCTGTGTAGCCTAGGCTTCTACATAGAAGTTGTGATTCTCCTCTCTGCCTTCCCACTGCTAGAATTCCCAGTGTACCACAACGCCCAGTGTGAGAGGTGAGAGGGATCTTGTTTAACTTGTTAATTCTTTTTTCTTTTTCCTTTTTCGGTGGTTCTGGGGCTTGAATTCAGGGCTTCACCCTTGCTACGCAGGAGCTCTACTGCTTGAGTCATGCTTTCAGCCCTCAATTGTTAATTCTTGTAAAGAAATGGTGGGCATTCTTGGACAGCAAGGCAAATAAGTAGTTTTTATGAAATGCAAGTGTTGATGTTTGGTTCAACCATAGTCACACAACCCTAACATGCCGGACCCTGGCCAGGCAGAACACATCTAGTCTGTACTTGTGCTTACCTCTTTGTGTCCCAGCCTGAAGACAGCTTTCTATCGGTCTTGTGTAGCCCTAGATAAGATTTGTGCAGGAAGAGAGAACCAGGAGAGCACAGCTTGCCCCAGTATTTAAGGGACTATAGAAGCTCCCAAGAAAGCTCGTGTTTGAGGAACCAGAGAAGAGGCTATAAATGTACACAGAGGCAGTATTTGATTGTAACACTCTCCAAATGCTAGTGACACTAGTCAGCCTCATCCTCTGTGAAAAGCCACTTTCCTGCTTCTTGGTCTGTTTTTCATATACGCTATGGTTTAGTCATACTATACTTTTATTATTATTATTATTATTTTTTTTTGTAACTTACACCTTTGCTCTGATTATCGTCTGGCTAAAATACCTTTTTCCACCCTTCTTCTCTGCTAGTGAGGCCTAGCTTAATGCCATTGTGTTTTTAAAGCTTTCTCTGCTTCTTGAAATAAAAATAAATTCTTCTCTCTCTGTGGTTTGATAGCACATTATCATTTTGATACTGTAATTATCCCATCCAAACTGGTCTATGTTTGTGTATGTGTATGATGTCCCCCAATAACTATAGGCACATTGGGTCATTGTTTTATTTATTTTGTGCCCTAGACGTAGATGCAATAAGAGCCCTCTTAATTTTGGTTGAATTGCATTGAAGATGTAAGAGGCAGTCAATGACTAAGAAATATTCTCCTGTGTAGGGCACCTCATCTTTAGAAATAAAATGTTAAAATGGAATGCTTTACCATGTTCTTTGTCTACGGGATTTGTTTTCAATAAACAGACTATGGGGAATTATTGAAGTACCCTGACTTACGAAGAAGGATGAGCCTCAATGTTGAGGGGACTTTTATTACTTCAGCATTCATCAGATTTCTTTATTGTGACCTTTCCACTTTGTACAGAGCATCTATTAAGAACATCTTCAACCAGTCGACCTGCTTCTCTACCAAGAGTTCCTGCCATGGAAAGTGCCAAGACCATCTCAGGTAATGACTTTTACCTGAAATTTTCTTTTAAAATTAAGACTCCTCCAGAAGTTTTTTAAGTGCCTCCAGTGTAACGGCAACATATTGGACATAAAGCTTCATGCAGACTTGATACATTGGGAAAGAATATTTATCCCAAGGCGTATTGTGACTCATTTTGAAGAGGTATTTCAAATCTCACCAAGAAATTTCTGAAGCTAAACTTTCAGTATGTAAATTCATCCTGTAATGATGATTTTGATGGGCTTGTTACTTTGCCTTCAGTAGATAACTCTTCAATTTATAAATTGTTAATAATATTTTTTCTTGTGGCCTTTTCTTATACTTTATAGCACAAGTAGAAATTGGACCATGAAAGGAAAAATCCCTGTAATTCTGCCTTTACACAGTCAGTGCCCCCCTTGTACATGGAGTGAGCTTAGTAAAATTTCCTTCCTCCTTGCTTGCTTTCCAACTTTATATGACATAGAGTTATTGTATTTCTTTGTGGGTGAAGACTTAGTAATGTTTTCTGCGTGTTGTAGCTGGGTCCTGAATCAGTACAAAGATCTGTAATCAGAACATTACCACCCCAAAGTCTTTTTCCTTCTCTCTCCCCCTCCCCAAAAAAAGAGTTCCACTGACATTTGCTTGACATAATCCTGCCACAGCCTCCCAAATGCTAAGATTACGTGTGAATGCCACCACACCTGACTCCAAACGCTTTTTTTTCTGTGTGCTTTTCTTACAACTGAATTCTTCAGATTCTTCTTCAGTCTGTTTCCTCTCTTTTATATAAACTTTTGAAAGTTTTTTTCTCATTTAATTTCCTAATGTGCCACTTAAAAGGAAACCTATTGATTGAAGACATAAAAAGGACCCAGAATAAAGAATAATTATAAAATTATACAAGGAATATATAAGCATATCATTCTAAGATCATATAATAGGGAAAAGCATCTATTCCCTATGGATCTTTAAGGGTACCACTTTAGTAATGTAGAGTTACATACTGCTGTGGTTATCCTAAAATCATCAAGAAAGTGTTAACCAATAAAAGTGCGTAATTTTTAGTAATCAGGGAAAATTACTGATGTTGTAACGTTGGTTATATTAAAATCAAGGGCCAGGCATAGTGGCATACATCTATAATCCCAGCTACTTGGGAGGCAGAGGTTTTCCCAATCATCGCCTCCCAAGTATCTAGGATTATAGCCAGTTTTGGGGGTCCATACTGGGGATTTGAACTCAGGGCCTCCCACTTATACTAGTGTTCTACTGCCTAAGCCACTCCACCATACCTTCACAGATGTTTTTAATGAAAAAAAAAAAAAAATCCTTTCCAGTCATCAGTAAGGTAAAATATTAGCTTTTTTCTCTTATAAAGTAATATCTCTTCTTTTGGAATCTTAGAGGAAAACACCTCAAAAATGTAAAATGTTTCTGCAGGCTGGACATGCAAAAAACATGCCTAACAAGTGCAAAGCCTAAGTTACTGTCAGAAAATTTTTTTTCTTTTTCTTTTTTTTTTGGCTACAAAATAGGTAATGACTATTTTTTACAATTAGTGTCTCGGCGAAGTAGTGAAGAAATGAAACGGGACATCTCTGCTCCAGAGGGAGCATCACCAGCCTCTCTTATGGCTATGGGAACCACGTCGCCACAGCTCTCCCTGTCGTCCTCTCCAACAGCATCAGTGACGCCCACCACGCGGAGCCGGATAAGGTAGGGAGCAGTTAATGTTGGTGTATTTCATGTATATCTTCCTCTGGTCTTTCTGAGTAAATGATCAGCTTGTAAAATAACGGCATCTGAACCCTATATGTTTTTCTCTTTTTGTGTTGTTAAGTGTTGACTCATCTCCTCTTCTCTGTGCAGAATTGGGTAAATGAGAAGACACTGACAAAATAGACAGTTTCTTTCCTTAAACAACTGAGTATTTTTTTTTTGTTATTTTTAACTAGAGAATGGTTAAGTGCAAAAGTAAGCGCAGGTTAAATATCCCTAATCAGAAAATCTGAAAGACTTTTTGAGCAACCACCTGGTGCTCAAAATGTTTTAAATTTTAGGCTTTTGAATTAGAGATGGTCAACCTGTAAGGTCTATGCGCATACTTTAAAATCTGAAAAACATTGAAATCTGAAACATTTCTGGTCTCAGGCATTTCAGATGAGAGATATTTAACCTGTATTTAACCTGGATTCATAGGTGGAGTGTTAGAGAAGGCTTCCTAGAAAGGTGGAACTTGGGTGGGGCTCTGAGGATTGTGATGGGACTTCATTGGCAAGGTGAATAACCTGAGTCAGAGAACCAAAGGGATGAAAAGGTGAGCAGTCAGGATATGTGGGAGGTAGCAATGATGCAAATTCAAGAAGACCAGCAGAAGGTGTCTTTGCCATTTAAGGGGACAGTGGAAGGCAAGATTGAATAGTTAGGGTAGAGCTAGGTGTTGGAACATCTTTAAACTTATATTGAGTCATTTTGGTGTGGTAAAAAGCTGTAAAGTGGGATAAATAACTTTGTGTACGATAAAGTACTGTTTTGGACAAAAGGAAACCAGCTGAAAGAATGTTACACTGGTCTGGGACAAAGTTAGCAAGTGTGGACCAGGGTGATAATAGTGGAAAATACCTAAAGAGAGGATTGGAGCCAGGAGAATTTTCAAAAGGAAAGATGACTTCAGAAATAGATTTTTTTTGGGGAGTGGGGGCAGTACTGGGATTTGAACTCAGGGTCTCACGCTTGCTAGGCAGGCCCTCTACCACTTGAACCACTCTACCAGTCTTGTTTTTTGTGTGTGTTGGGTATTTTTGAAACAGGGTCTTGCTTTTTGCCCAGGCTGGCCTTTGACCACAATTCTCCTGATCCCTTCCTCTCAGGTATTAGGATTATAAGCATGAGCCTCTGGTGTTCAGCTAAGATACAGATTTTTATCAAAGGATTTCAAGAATGAGAGTTACCAAAAGTGGCTGTAATTGTTTAGGCTGAAAGTTGGGGAACGTGATGCTACATTAAAAATTGATAAGCACTATATGAAAACATAAGTTTATGTTTTATTCATAGTTCCTTTATGGTAGAAGCTATTTTGGACTAAGCGGTATTAAGAACTTAGAGGAAAAAGATGAATGTCAGAAATTAGGCACTCATTGTTTATAGGGATAAGGAAAGACTGTTGACAGGTATTAAGAAGGAGGGAAGGGCGTAGGAAGGGGTTTCAGAAATTTAGTTGTATATTAATTTATAGATTGGAGGATAAAGTGGAATACTTAGCTTCTCAAATTCAAATTATGGACTTACTTTTTAGAGCCCTACCTTTTCTAAGGGCACCAACTTTTGAGAATAGTGGTCTCATAAGCTGTATATCTTAGGAGCAAATAGGCAGTTCAGTCACAGAGGAGCTCGGGCCACTCTGACTGTGCAGAGAAGGGACCGTCAGTGCTCTTTTTTGTCTCATAGGTGATGGGCTCCCTACATGGGAGATAAAACATTTGCTCCTCCTCGCCTCCTGGCTTTGAAGCTGTGATCTTTAATAAGGCATCTTTTAGCCTTTGTTTCCTTATCTTGAAATGAAGAAGTGACAGGAGATGACCCTCTAGCTCCAGAGGCCTCTTTCCTGCAGCTTCTTATTGTGTCCATAGAGTCACTCTAATGCATTTTAAGTTGTTTCTGTAACAAAACAGACTCCAAAGAGTAAGCCTTTCACATTCATTAGAAGTTAACTTTTACATTGAACAAGACAGTTTTCCTTTTCTTTGCTTTTTTTGTCTGTCTGTTTTTTGGCTTTCCTTTTGTGTTTATTTGCATCTCTTAACTTTATCTGTTTACCTATGTTCAGTGATATTATAACAAACTTCTTTGAACCCTTTAAGCTAAATCAGGTATCTGGTGAGCTGACACATAAGCATAAAAGTGTATTTCTTCAAAGTAGCTTTCTAACTGTATATTGATAAATATTTGGTATTTTGCTTTTGGTTCTAAAATAAATAAAAATTGATAGTTTTTTAATGCACCTCTCAGTTGGAACAGCTTCAGTTCTAAACGTGTCCTCTTTGATTTCATAGTGTTGAAATGAATTAAAGACCCTCTGGTGCCGAAAACAGACACATGAGAGACAGAAATTTTTGACAGGGCTAGCAGACATGCAAACACAAAATGGCTGACAGTGGCTTCTCCTCATATCCCTGACTCAGTTGTACCTGCCCCTCACCTGGGATTTGTCCAGGTCAGAGGTTCACAATCTTTCTGATTGGCTAAAGGCTTAGGGGATGGGTTACGGCATGTAACTCGGTGGGCAGTTTTTGTGGGCAATGGGACTGTACAAGAATCTTAAAGAAACAGGAACCCTTTAAACAATGCAAGTTACCTAAGATGGCAAGTTACCTGTTACCTGAGGAATTTTAAGTAATCTAAGAGGGTGACCTATACTTTGATAGAAAAGATCATTTTTCTTAGTTTCCCCCCTCTTTTAATTTAAATTCTTTTCTTCAAACTCATTAGGAGCCGTTGGCTCTCATGTTTCTGTGTTTTTAATAGGAACAAATTATTTGGGTAGAGCAGGGGTGATTGTTTGGGTAGGGCTGTCTCAATTAACCGCTGTATTAGTCCTCAGACACAAGGAATTATGTAACATCCTACTAAAATTAAAACTCCAGCTGCTACGACCAAGGAGGTTAAGACTGAGGTCATCTAGCCCTTTCATCACCCAAACCAGTTTTCCATTAAGTTAGTGAAGGGATCATTATACCTGAATTTTCAGCTAGCTCATTAGATAGGGTAGTTAATCCCTGAAGGGCCTTACTAATAGTTCCATCAGGGGCTGTGTTATTTAGTATATACATATGACATAAAACTCCAATTATTTGCAAACTCCTCCCTTTTCAGCTAACATTATATCTAATGCTAGCCTGTTCTCTCAAGCCATCTGGCTAGTTGGTCCCAATTGCTCTGCTATTCCTTTTATAGCATCCCTGGTATAGTTAACAAGCCTTTGTTGGTTATAATAAATATAATTAATCCAATTGACATTTTATTTATGGTGGACCACCAACTTACAGGACCATCCTGCTATAATTTGATTTCTGGCTTTAAATTCATTTGGCTCCCCTCTAGGAACCCCAATGGCATCAATATAAAAATGGGGGACCCAAGGAGCCTCTGCGGCTGGCTGCAACGTCTATGCCTGTGTCTCTCCTTTTCCTAGGTGTTGTAGCTAGGGTGAAAGGGATGGCCAGTTGCCCCAAAGCACAGGTGCCTGCCCAGTTACTTGGGAGAGTTTCAAATAAAGGTCCTCCGCAGTACCACCAGGCATCGGCTCTGCCCATGGAGAATGAGTGTGGACTGGACCACTTTCACTGTATTCTGTCAGATTTTCCACATTTGTCAATCATCCCCCCCTGCCTGGGAAGACATGAGGTATAATTGACATCTGGGGCAGATGGTTTAACAGTCCTTGGGGACTGACCCTCAGGACCTCTGGGAACAGCAGTGATAACATCCAGCAGGATTCATTACCCCAAGCTGTGGCATCCTGGAACAGAGCCAACATGCAATGCATTCCATCTGGATCAGAGGACCATCCTAATGGAAACAAAACCACCTGAGACTCTGGCCTCTCAGTAGTAACAATCGCTCTTATTTAATATCTGGATGGAATATTTTATCCATTCCATCCAAGCATTTGTATCCCCATACTCAATTTCAATAGTCACAGTTTGTTTTAGGTCCTTGAGTTCTACTACGGTTACATGAGTTCAATTGTTGTGTGAGCATGGAGGTAACGCTGGAGCAGAGGTAGAACTGGGTGTCCTCTGAGAGGGTTTGGAAGGTATACGGAGCTCAAAGGCACCTAAAGGGTCTGTTCCTGAGGCATCCGCCCCCAACTCATATTTACAAAATACGATGGTTCTTTTGTCATACATGACCAATCTAAGTGTTTGGTCTTTGCAAGAAAGAGAGGGGTGTGTCTGAAACAGCTGTAATTTTGACTGTAGTCTGTTAAAAGACTGTCAGTTGTTCTGGATGGTGGAAATAGGAGTCTTACCAGTATCTCAGGGTCTGGTCCAGCCCTTAGGATTGTCATAAAAGGAGAAGTGTATCCTTTATACCCAGTGTTTCGTGCCACATCCGTCCACTCTGGACAGATACCAGGCTTAACCTGTGGGTCCTGGGATGGGGCACATATAAAAAAGTATCCTTGGAGCTGGAGTTGGGACATAGGGTCTCCACTAGGAAGGATCTGGCATGCATCGAATTCAACAGTTAAGGGAAAAGTACTCTGAGTTACATTAATAATAAATGTACCTTTTCCCAAATGAAAGAGAAAGAATAATTTCACTATAGTCTTTTTAAGGTTACTCTGGTGTCTCCTGGATGTGAGAGCATAGTCTATTATTCCTTCTGGTCAGGTGTGATGAGTCCATCCCCTCTATGCAGTCTGGAAGGCTGTTTCCATGGTCAGCAGGACCAGGAAGTGTTCTTCCCAAGCTGGCTCAAGCTTCTTTTCAGGTCTTGATCGGCACATAATCACCAGGCTAGTGTGGGTGAATGTGAAAGTCAAGTGGAGGATCCTGTGCTAACAACCCCTTTTTCCTAAGAAAAAGAACGGTAGAGGACAATCCAAGTATATAATTTTTGAGGAAATAGTCTTTGGTTTCAAAGGTAGGCACATCAGTAACAGAGTTAAGGTAAGGAAGACCATAAAGCACTTCATAAGGGGAGAGGCCAAT